TAAACGTGTAACGGATTTCGTGTTTCAGCTCTGCTCTACATAACATCGTTTAAAAAAAAAACTTTTTTTTTCTAAAATTATCAACTTTACTTGATTTTATTCTGTTAATGTCTAAATTTCAGAAGAAGAGAAGCAGATTTTTCGTCTCCTCACTTTTATTTTAGAGGAAAAGAAAGTTTTCTATTTGGAAAATAGCTTCAATGCTGAAAAAAAAAATAGTTTTTCTTTTTAAATTTATCAATTTTACTAGAATTTATTTTAGCAAATGTCTAAATTTCAGTAGGGGCAAAGCACATTTTTTCCTCCTCACTCTAATATCAGAAGATAATAAAGTTTTAGACATCGAAAATAGCCTCTAAGTTGATTTTTTTAAATTACCAATTTTTCTTGACATAATTTTCGAGGAACGCGCTGAAATTTTTGAAGGGGCGAAGCCCTTTGTTCGTCCCCTCATTACAATTTCAGAAGAAAAGAAAGTTTCTACCCGGAAAATAAAGTGAAAATTGGAAATAAAATATTTTTTCACTTTCACTTTACTTTTCCAAATGTCAAAAGGCACATTATTCACCCATTTAATTTAATTTCAGAACAAACAAAAGTTTCCTATTTGGTGTGAAGTTTCAAGGTTGAGAAAGAATAGCTTTTTTTTCTCTTTAATTACCAATTTTATTTGAATTTGTGTCTTGACAAATGTCAAAATATTAGAAAGGGCAAAGCACATTATTCAACCCTCCGCTTAAATTTCAGAGGAATATAAAGTTTTCGATTTGAAAAATAGCTTCAAAAGTGAAAAAAAATTTTTTTTTAATTACAAATTTTACTTTGCTTTATTTTTGCAAGTGTCTAAATTTCAGGTGGGGTAAAACACATTGTTAGCCCCATCACTTAAATTTTAAAGGGGCCCTCTGTCCCCCCCCCCTCCTTTGGGTTTGCACTCTTCTGGGACTGACACTAGACAGGAGATGAAAGAACTAAGTAAGGCAGAAGTACAATAAACACAAAGCGTTAATAATCAACTATATGCAGTTGTGGTCTTTCCCCCTCTCTGAGAAGCTTTTTTGTTCTTTTTAGGAAGAGGAATAATTTTCGGAAAAAGTCTTTTAACCGTTTTTTACCCTTTCCTTTACGTTAAAGTAGGTACAAAAAAAGAAAATTTTTAGCAATTCTATCTGCACACAATTGCTTTCCTATATATATATATAACTTCAAAATTCTAAAACGCAACGCAAATTGCAGTGACAATATGAATAAATATGTTTCTAAAGATTAAATGTTAATATTTATACTGTTTTGATATTTACTATAATTATACAAAAAAAAAGTAGCATACCTAAAGACAATTTATTTTCTTACAAAATAATCCTTAATACATGTTTGTATTTGTTTTTGCCGACGTATTTCAAAATCAGTTTTTTCCAGCTCATATAAATGGGATAAGGGAGTTTCAGAAGCAGAATTGAATTGTAAATAGTCACGAATAGTGTCTAAAGCTTCTAGTACTGCTGTGTGATTTGGAGGAACTTTATCATCCTCGTCAGTATCATCCGACACGTTCTCATCGTTATCAATGTCTCTTAATTCCGTTGTTAATAGATTATCATCAAAGACAATAAATTCATTAAAGGAAACAAGTCCATGGGATACAACTTTCCATTCGTTATTACTAAGATCGGTATCGGTATTTTCTGATGCATTTGCATTACAACATAATAAAACGGTTAATCTTTCTTTACTGTTTCTTCCACCGTGGCAGAGTTCTCCCTTAAATGCCATTGTCTTTTTAGGCATCATCCTGAAAAACAAACCAGTTTCATCACAATTAAAAATATCCTTTGGTTTGTATTCCTTAATTAAAGATTTAAATTTTTCTTTCCATTCCCTTACAGTCCTTTCGTTCACGCTTGTATTTTTACCAGATATGGTACGAGTTTCTAGGCCAATTCGGATCTTGAATTTCTCCACCCATCCATAGCAGAGGAAACATTTTGTTAAAATGAATAAAAGCAAAAAAGCCAGGGGAAATGTTGGGTTCCCTTAAATAGTATTTTGCCCAGGACGTAAGACTCTTTTAATCGGGCCCTGCATATGAATCTATAAAAATTCTTATTAGAGTTGAACCAAGTTAGAACTTCAACAATTAGTGCTACCAACTGTGGCCACTAGGGTAAAATATGAACACAAAAAGTTTAAGTTCATTTAATATTGGAATAAAAAAAAATTGTATTGAAGGTGGATGTGTAACATAGTGATTAGGACACTTGTCTTGTAAATGAAATATCCGCGACTTATTCCCACTGGAGACTATTTAAATTTTTTTTTAACTGAAAAATATTTTATTTTTTATTTTAAGTACATTTATAAAAAAAAACTTTAAATTTAGTTAGGAAAGTTCAAGTTTATCTGTCTATGCTTTATCGGTCTATGCCACGCCGTGTGGCAGCTTGTATCCAGGCTAGAGGCGGGTCAACACCTTATTGAACTTGTTACTGCACCTTTGCAATAAATTATTCAATTGTTCTGAAATTTTAATCATTTACTATTCTGTACATTGTCTTCCTATCCACCAATTTTCGTTTCAATCGGACAACTCCTTCTTGGTGCGTCGATTTTTTGTTATAGAATGTAGCTGGCTAAATTTAATTAAGTTTCTTATTATAAATTAGAAAGAGGTTGCAATACGAATTCTAGTACGAATGCAATAGAACCTGAGACTAGTTACAAGCCAGATATCCTTTCCACTGCACCTCGCATCCACATTCAATAGGCATTTTTAAAAAAAAATTTGGTATGAAATGAATTAAATTTCTACGGCGTCTTTCTGGGTTACAGTGGCAAGAAATTTGCACCCCTGTTTAGGTCTAAGACCATACCATATTCTTTAATTTAAGCTTGGTTTCGTTTCAATATAAATTTTACAGATTCATACTTCTTTGGCTAGATATATGAAGTGAAAACGTTAACGGTTCGAATAATGACTATCAAGATTATAATAATGTCATATTAGCGGTCCTTTAGTTCGTTAAGTTTAAAAACTAGAAACAATAAGCATAAGTTCAAAAAAAAACTTTTTTTTTGAATGAACATACTGTTTTAAGCTCCGAATATACTTATAGCTAAATTGACATTAAATTTTCGTGACCTTTTTTTTATTGTTTTTAAAATTACAAAGAGAATAATTTATATTTATTAATTTATGATAAGCTAAAAAAATATTAAAAGTAGATGTCAATTTTTTTTTTAAAATTGAAAAGCAGATTTGCTTTTTTTTGTAATTTCCAATTTTAAAACACATATCATATTACTTCAACATACAATCAACTTTGTCTTATTTCCTTTCCTTTAAGGGAAAAAAAATCGATAAAAAATCTTATTTTCGGAAACACTAAAAATTACAAGTAATTTAAAAAGTAAAATTTGACGAAAAATTCTAATTTTAGCACATTGATTTGACTTCAATAAGGGTACTACAACTTGATCTAGTGTAAGCATGAACGTTTAGATTTTATTAAGGAAGCATAGGGTTGTCAATGCTAAAATTATAGTCTTTGAAAAGGCAAATAAGATTTTAAGATATTTAAGATACTCACTAGTCTCTGAAGTTTGGGCCACGATCATCAACAATCTGGCCCACAGTTGTGGTGTGCTCCACTCAATAAAAGGTGATTCTAATTTTAAAATTTACAGCTTGAACAAATATTTCAAAAGTCAAAACAAGAATTCAAAGAAACACAATGATTAATGAACATTGCATCGAAAGAAAATCTGAATAACTTTTGATCTTATTATCAGATTTTCATACACTAAGACTCAATGTAAATGGTCTGAGGGCCTCACCTTAAATATACTGATTAGTGCACACGATAATTTAGGTTACGAAGTTGTATACAACTTTTTTTTTTCCTTTAAAAAAACACAATTTTTTTTTTGAAGAATTCGAACTGTTGACCTTCAAAATATGGGGCGAGGGGTTGCCACAATCTGGGAAATAAGTTTCCAAAAGTTTGGTCAGGAGAGCAGATGAAAGTTTTAATTTTTAATGTTAACTTTTTGCAAGTTTTGCCAAATATTGAGAACTTTTTAAGCCACTTGAAAAAATATTGCATACAATTATAAAATCTTTGAAAGATAATTCCTTGCGAAAAATTATATTTAATAATTATTTATATTTCTTTGATGATTATATTTTGTAATTGAAAAAGTTTACAAATTTTTACATTTTAAAAAATGTTGTTGTTGCTGTTAATTTACATCGCACTAGAGCTGCACAATGGGCTATTGGCGACGGTCTGGGAAACATCCCTGAGGATGATCCGAAGACATGCCATCACAATTTTGATCCTCTGCAGATGGGATGGCACCCCCGCTTCGGTACCCTGACGACCTGCGAGCGAAGTCGAGCACTTTACGGTAGCACAGTTTAACGAGGACCAATACCGCACACCCTCGGTCCCTACGCAGACTGATCCAAGTGGTCACCCACCCGCACACTGACCGTAGCCAGTGATGCTTGACTTCGGTGATTTGCTAGGAACCGTGTCTTAACGATCTGTTCACAGCGGGACTTTTAAAAAATGCAAACACAAAATTTGTATTTACATTCTTTACAATGAAGTAAAAAAAAAAATGCTGACTAGATAAAAAAATTTGAGAGCAATAGTTTCTGAGTTAGCAAATTTTAAAAAAAAACAGTTGTAGATCTAAAATTTGATTTCACAGAGACTATTCGACTATAGTAATTAGAAATAGAGAGAAACATACATGTGCATAGAAATATACACTTATGCACACTAGAAAATCTAGAGATTGTAAAGACAACACTTAATAAAATATTGAAGATTTCATAGCTTCAGGAAAGAAAATAGCAAATTTAATGTTTTGTTAAAAAACAAATTGCATCGCACACTCACTAAAAAATATATAGAATTTCCCAGTAATAATTTTATACTTTATTTATTGTATATACACAAACACATTTTCTAAAATATATTTTTCTCTTATAGATGAAAGTTTTGGAGAAAGTATGCTTTTTATTGTTCCTCACTAACGTCGATTCTAGGTTAAAAGAACAACACAGACCATGTACATTTAACTCTTTATGTACCTGCTCAAGTGGAGGTCCCGATTTAGGATCCGTTAGTTGTGAAAATATTCCGTTTATGACTATACCACCTCATCTCAATAAATTTGCAATTTATATCATGAGTCTGAAAAATAATAAATTGCAATATCTTGAAGATTACAGTTTGAATGGTACAGGATTGTGGAAACTTCAAATAAACAGCAACCTTCTATCTGATTTGCCTTCAAATGCTTTGGCAGGTCTTGAAAAAACTTTATCAGTGTTAGATTTAAGCCAAAACCAATTATTTAGGATACCAAAAGAAGCAATACTAAATTCAGAAAAATTAAGTAGTTTAATTTTAAGTGAAAATCACATTTCAATTCTGTATAATGACGATTTTCGAAGCATTGGAAAAACGCTAAAATTATTGGATTTAACAAATAATGCACTAATGCATATTCAAACAGATTCATTCAGAAACATGATTTCACTTGAGGTTTTGAATTTGGCTTATAACTCAATTCTAACTATTGATGATATTACTTTTCAAAGTGGACTAAATAACTTGAAGCATTTGAATTTGATGGGAAATCAACTTCAGCAAATTCCATTGAATGCACTGGCTAATTTAAAAAATATCAAAACAGTAAATTTGAATGATAACATGATTTCAACAATATCTGAAGGCCGAGAAACAAGAAATCGAATTAATTTAGAGGAATTGCATTTAGAAAATAATCTGTTGACTGAGCTGACACCACAGAGTTTTAGACTATTTAGTCATATAAATCGATTATTTTTAAAAGGAAATCCATTAGAAACAGTTAATGATACTTTTTTAATAACCAATGTAACAGAGATATACATGCCTTATTGTAAAATATCCCTAATTACACCTAATGCATTTTATAGTGTTGCTCATTCAATGCAGGTAGTAGACTTAAGTTTTAACAATCTGGGTGAATTTCCAGATTTACCATTCACAAAACTAGTGAGACTATCACTTGCAGGTAATACAATAAAAGAAATAAATTTTTCCAGCATAAAAGGATACAGCAATACTCTAAAATACTTAGATTTAAGAGGTCCTAAAATGACAAGCCTTGATAATGAAGTTATTTTGAATTTATTCAATTTGCGTGAGTATTTATTTAACAAGAAGCAATCTCTACTAGATAAAGACTACTTACGAAATTTTGGATCATCTATTGAAAAGCTATCTATAACAAAAAGTTTCATTAAAGTGATAGAAAATGGAGCTTTTAATAAATTGAGTAGTTTAAAAGAACTTGATTTGTCTTATAACAGCATAACAAAAATTGAAAACTCTACTTTTAAAGATAACAGACACTCTTTGATAAAATTAAACTTACACAAGGCATTTAAATTGACTATGTTTCCTTTTAAGATATTTAACATCCTTAATAAATTGGAATATTTAGATTTGAGTGACAATGGTTTAATACAACTACCATATGAATCCTTTATTTCATTTCAGAATTTGAAATATTTGAATCTAAATTACAATAAATTACTAGATCTGCATCCAAATTTCATTAATGATATTAACAATCCAGACGTGGAACATTTGAAAATAGCTTTTAACAGAATTAGTACATTGAATTCATATACAATCCGAAATTTACGAAAATTAATTTATTTACAGATGAATGATAATCATATAAAAAGTATAAGAAAATCTGCTTTCTTAGATTTGGATTCAATTATTGATATTCAACTACAAGGTAATTTAATAGAGAATATTGAAAACGAAGCCTTTCAAAATCTTCCAAACGTTCAATATATTAATTTAGCATATAACAAACTATTAAGTTTCAATTTAGAAGCTTTTCATCAAGTAGGTAGGCTTTCTGCATTAAAAGTCGATGTCAATAATAACAACATTCAGAATTTAACTGGAAATTATTCTGTAATTCATACATCAAGCAATATTAAGAATATAAATTTCAGCTATAACAACATATCTTACATAGACAACAATTATTTTGATCCTATTCGCCAGTCAGTTATACGTCTAGATTTGAGTAATAATTTAATACAAGATTTATCAGTATCAGCTTTTGCTAACATGGCTCAATTACAAATGTTGATTATTTCTAACAACAAGATAGATTCCGTAGATGAAAACGAATTTAAAGGGATTACATCATTACAAATTTTAAATTTATCATTTAACAATATCACAGTATTGCCTGAAAACTTATTTAATGAGCAATCAAGACTGAGAATATTTTCAGCTTCACACAACAGTATGGAAGAATTGGCAGAAAATATATTTATTAAGACAAATATAGAACAATTAGACTTATCTTACAACTTTTTAGAAGCATTTCCTCAAGAATCTTTGCTCACTTTAAAGAACAGTTTACAACTTCTTGATCTAGCTGGAAATCTCATACAATCCTTAAATTTTAGTAATTTTAAAAGCTTTCAGAACCTCAGATACCTCAGCCTAGCTAATAATCAGCTAACAATTACAAGTTCAGGAGAAACTGATTATTTACCAAAATTAGTAAGTATACAAACTAAAGTAATATTTCTTGCTTAGATATAAAATTATAGATATAATAATGGAAATAGAAGATATAATATCTATTTAACATTAAAATGAACCCCCCCCCTTTTTTTCAAACAGCTTTATGCTTAACTTGGTAAGTCAACCTTTATATCTATTGTACATATTTGTATTACTATTAGTCTTAAAAGTTGGAAAAAAGTAATTTTTCCATACAAAATTTATGAAACACAAACATCTCTTTGTGTGCACTAAATTGAAAGATATTGACAATGAGAATACTTCTCCTTCAGATTTTACACACCTTTATTGGACAGCAAGATAGCACAGGGCTAATTGGCTGAGGCTGGGTATAACATTAAAAGAATAATAATTTTAGCAAAATGGATTTTTATTAAACAGCAGTTAAGTCATAAACTTTTAATGACATCCACGAGACTGGTGCTGGAAAACTAAATATTGGATAGGTGGCCAAATTTTCTGTAAGGAACAAATAAAAGTCTCCTCGTTTGAAAATACTTAGATGGTTTCTTTCTTTTGTCATATCATATTATGTATAAATAAATCTTACAGTATATTAACACTCATTATAAAATATAAACAGTCAAAAATTTAAGAGAACCCAAAGAAAATATCTTCAAAAAATACGAGAAAAATTTTTTAAGCAATACTTTGGGACCAAATTATCACATGAAATGATAGCTGGAATACCCAGGGTTATATAGACCATTTCATATATCTTTAAGCTTAACAACTAAATATGGCAACATTAGTCTGGAACAGATCAATCTTAAAATACACACATTGCCATAAAAATTTGTGCACCGAGAAGGAGTTGTCAGAATGAAAACAAACATTGTTTTAAGTAAGTAATTGAGGAATAAAAGCAAAATGATCATTTATTACAGGAAAAGACACAAAAGAATAGAGATTTTAATACCTTGTTGGACCCCCTCTAGTGTGAATGAAAGTTGAATTGGGTTTCATTGTTTCCCAGGAACAAAAAGGAAAAATTAAAATTGATTAAAATGAAAATTATGAAATGAAAAATTAAAGTTATATAACCAAGAAAATTGTGATATGGAAAATTATGTAAGATATGCTATTTCTAAACTTAAGCATTGTTTCCTAAATCTGACACACTCTCGTCCCCTTAGACAGGCTAACTACTAAGCTTGCACCCACAAAAAGTGTCTAAATTAAATTATATGTGCTCCGTGTTCACACTCGCATGGTTGGATAGTAAATGATAGTTTAAAAACCACGGTGATACACCACACCTTCCAACTTTTCAGACACTGTTGGAAAAAAAATGCTCTTTCAGTAAAAGATAACTTCTGAGGCTGAGGATAACTTTGTTCAGAGTGGTGTGACAAATTTGTTCTAATAGAAAATTGTAATCCCTTTAGAAACAAATTCAGATTGAATATGCTTTAATTTAATTTTCCTAATTTTGACTTAAATAAATGTAATGGAAAAAGTTTGATTAATTTAATTAATGTAAGGTCTTGGAATATTTCAATTTTTTTATTGTAATTAATTCTTTATAATAATGTTTATAAGTTCTTAATAATTCAGTTTTCTTTAGGTTAACTAGGTAAATTTTCTAGATTTTTCACACAAATATGAGTATACATAGGAGTCTTACAGTATATTTTCCAAAGTGGCTTTAGAAATTAGTACGTTAAAAAAAATGATGTTGGTAATTATCTTTCAAATATAGTGCTTTTTTGAAGAGAAGTATATTTTTAATTTCGATAATAAACAAACATAAAAATTTAAATAATTATTATTAAAAGCAGCATTTTTGACTTAAAATGTAATTTAATTTATTTTAATTTTAAAAATCCTCAAATTTTGAAATTTTTATTGTGTTTTATATATTTTTAATCAGAATATACAGTTCGGCCTCATTTAACGAAGTCGCTAAATCCCGATAAAAAGCTTGTAATATAAAAATTCGTTAAATAGAAAATCACCATTTAAAATCTTTAAACAACACAAAACAGGTTTCAAATTCATAAACACTAGACATAATTGAAACAGCAACTGATAACCTTCATCTTGTAAATTATTATCTACTACTGAATTGCTTCAAATGATTTTAGCATTTTATCATAGAAAGGTTTGGTGATTTCTTCATCATTTCCATCTTCTTCGTCTTCCTCACAATTTATTGCTGTATTATTGTTTTTATTTTTCACACCATCCAAACTATCCAATTCAGTTAATGTTTTTGTGGTTGCAGCTTTTTTGGCTTGATTTTTGGCTTGGATTCTAGTATGAAATGCAAACAAAAAGGGAAAGGCAATTTACTTCTTTCTCTCAAAGCGGCTGCCAAAATCAATTCAAAGTCATTTCCCCCATAAAATGCACTAACAAGTTTGAAATGTTTTGGAAAATAGGGAAAGTGGATCTTAAAGAAAAGTTCGTTAAATAGAAAATTCACTTTGTTATTTGGAAGTTTTTTTACGAAGAAATTTCCAAAATGTTCTTAGCTCCTCTAAAAAAATTGCAAAATAGAGAAATTCACAAAATGGAAGTTCATTACATTGAAGTCTAACTGTATATATACATGAATTTAAAATATATTCTGTATGTGCATTTATTTATTTTGTATTTTATTTTGCAGAAGGTTATTTTTTTGTTCAATTTGTAAATTTTTTTTTATAATTGAATATATAACTGTAAATAGTCAATTAAAACTAATGATAATTTTCACTGAAAATTTTTTCATTATTTTTAAAATATGGAAAATTTAAAAAATATTAGAAGAGCTTTTAATGAAAAAAAAAGAGTAAGAGGAAAAATTTCAACGTATTGATGGGAGAGATATTTTGGATGCAAGGTGTAATTTAAATTTTCCTAAAGTTTTAATAAAAATTCTCTTATTTTTTATTTTGTTTACTCATAGTTTAACTAATAAACAGAAAAAATGCAATAGTATCCAGAGAGCACATAGGAGTATCTAACACATCCTGTGACCAGATACAAATATACACAGCAATATTATGTAGCACTTTCATTCACAAATATATTCTTCTACTTTCTTATTTTAGGAATATATTTTATAACTTATTTTGAATTTAGCATTATAATATTTGTTTAGTTTCTGTTTTAACTAACTCATGCATCTTTATTTCAGATATATTTAGATTTATCACAAAATTCCATTAATGAATCACCCCAGTGGATAACTGAAGTTCTTCCAGATAGCTTAAAAATTCTCAATTTAGCAAACACTTCTTTGAAAGATATACCTTTTCTGAAATCTTGTGACATTTTATTTCTTAACTTGAGTTCAAACTTGTTAAAAACAATAAAGCATGAAGCTCTGGAAAACTTACAAAAAATTCAAGTTTTGGATTTTTCAAATAACTTACTTACTACAATACACAATGATCTGTGGTCAAATTTACCACAACTAAGATCGTTATATTTGCAAGACAACCCAATACAAGCATTGTGGAATACAACTTTTAGCAACATGGAAAGATTACAACAACTTTTTATAAAAAATATTGATATACAAGAAATTCAAAAAGATGTATTTCATCCATTAATAGCACTGCAAAAACTAGAAATAAGCACTTATCCCCAGAAAGATATAAGTATATCTGAAATGCTAAGCAAAAACCATGGAATAAAAGAAATACATTTGCATGTTCAAGAAAATGATTTAGAAAGAATGTTTGATGAAAACCTACCTAAATCTTTAAAAAAAATAATTTTAGAAGGAGAAAATTTAAGACACATTGACGAATCAAGATTTTCTAACATTCAAAGTCCTGATATATTTGTGGACATAAGAAATTCAAATATCACAAGAATCTCTCAGAACTTATTTAAGAGCATGAAAGAAGTGAAAAACTTCACCGCATCTTTTATGAACAACAAGCTTCAAATGATTGAAAAAATGTATAATCCTGATGAAAAACAGGTAAAAATTTAATATTTCACTTTTTAATCGCACTTGTTTGAATTTATAAAATAACCATGTCATAGAAAATGGGATTGTTTTAATTCAAGGAATCTTCAAAAACTTATAAATTAATTATAGTGTAGAGCAAATATCTCTAAACAAATTTTAAAACCAGTCATTGACACTCTTTGCTATGCAGAAAATTCTATTCTTGAATACATGAAACATTCCAATTTTTTTTATGTATTTCTTGAGAGGTTTAAACAGGGAAATTTATAGGACCAATGACAATAATAGTGCATTCAAATGAAATTTTAATTAAAAAAGTAAAATCTAAAGCATTTGATCAAGTAATTGGGTGTTACTAAATTTGCCATTTACTGATATCACAAGATTCTATTTATTCAACAAACCAAGAACACTTTTAAATACAATAAATATTGATGGGATGTAGAACAAGTTGTTCTAATGATTAAGCACTTGTTTAAGATGAAACAATGTATTATCTAGGTAAACAATTCAACTTAAAAGCTTAGATGTCGGGCTAGTGGACATCATTGGATCATTGTATACCTATTTTATTGAATATTATTTTGAACTTTTATTGTAAGGCTTCATATCAAGTGCTTTTATTTCCAATTTATTGGCATTCATCTGACAGTTATGTCAATTCAGGGATGAATTTTTTCATGGATATCAAATAACAGGCTTTTTAATAGCCATGTTTCTTAATGGATAGTCTTTATGACCAAGCTCCTTGAACTACTTAACTGCTTTAAATAGGATATTTTTGGCAAATTCTAAGCGAATAAGACAATATAAGGTAAACAAGACAGATAAAAAATGAAAATAAAGAAATCAAAAATCAAATGAAAATTTATGAACAAAACATTTTATGTCATAAAGCATAAAACAGTATAAAAAACCAAATCTTAAAAAATTTGGCTGTGCTAAAATCTGTTTAGTTAAGTGCAGCTAAAAAAGTTACCTTATCTCAACTTTGTTGCTTCTTAGTTTATCTTATAAATTATTGTTATTATGACACTCATAGTAAATTCTGATAAAAATTACTTATTATAAGATCCTAAGCATGCTGCATATTATATAATTTCTAAAATATGCTGCAGTTTTACGAACAAGAATTCTTTAAAACAGAACATGTTTTAGAAGGAAAAACTGAATTTTACATTTCTAATTAAAATAAAATCAAGCTTATTAATCAATGGTATTAATTTTCGAAATTAAAAGTGATCATATAAAACGAAACAGTTTAACCTTCTAAATTTAATGCAAAACATTAGAAGGTCAGGCAAATAGTTCAAGAGATATATAGCAAAATATAAAGAAAAAATAAGTAAATTGCATTAAAATCTTTAAAACCTCATTTGGGATGGAAAGTATAAAGATTTGGGATCAGATTTTTCAGATTGTGACCATTCCTTTATTTTTCAGGGTCAAATATCTGAATTAAAAAAAAAAAAATTCGCTGAGATAAAGTATGTTTTTTTTGCCTCATTTTACAACAATTAATTAAAACAATTGAAATCTACCCTCTGAACAATTTAGACTAAACTTCAGAGAAAGAAAACTGCATTATAAGAATAATATCAATAGTTAGTGTCAAATAAAAATATGCATATGTGTGTGAATATCATATAGATTTTACATTTTAGACACTTTCTTATTCACATTCGACATAGAACTAGCATACATTGATTTTTAGTAATATACCGTGTACTCAAATAATTACCTCAAAAAGTGTTCGAGAAAATGTCCTACTCACTTTTGGAAAATGAGTATAATATTTTTTAGACTCATTTTATATACTAAGTTCCTTGAAACAAATTTTGATTGAGACTATAAAAAATGCCATTTTTTTTCCCGCCCCAGCGTATTCTATTTTTCACAACAATAAGTTTAATTAAAAATAAAGTACATTTTTTGTCTGATAATTTATATCATTATTCAGTAGAAAATAAAAAAGAATAAACTTTTGCATTCACAGTCAAAAGGTACTTTATTCCAGTGTTTACATAATAAACTAAGGTATCCCATAATATGTCATTATTAATACAAGGCCCACGCCAAGCATTCACCACCTCACCAAATGTGATAAAATTGTAAATTCACTACAAGTATAAGCAAATTATTCTTTCTACCATAAAGAAAAATATATATCCCCCTCAATCTTGAAAAAAAGGGCAAAAGAGAATTTTTCTGAACAAATCCTGTATTATTATTTTTTTTCAATTACAGTAATTTCCACTAGATACATCACACAACCAATTAGAATTATATTAAGTCTAGACAATGTAAATAACTGGAGAGATTATGTAAGCATGTGACAAACTACAGCAAAATACAGATTACCACGTTCATTTCCAGATCATGCAATATGATGTGACTTATTTTTCCAATAGTTTGTGGCAATAAAACAGATTATGAGGTAGCAATATGCATTTTATCATCAAAATATTTTTGCAGGAAATATGCTTTCTCGTGACAAAAGCATATACAATAATGTGACAATAACATAATGTTGCCTAAGGTTTATCCTTATATTAATGCTCTGGTCTGAGAAGTTATCAAAAATTAGCATTTTTCTAATTTTTTCCCTCAAAGACCATAAAACATCTATATTTTTTATCCTCTCTCCTATTCATAGCTTTTTTACACCTCCTCAACTGTAAAAAGATTTTGGATTTTAAATTGCATTTTATAAAATAATTAAATTTATTGTAAATTTGTATTCCAACTTGTATTCTATGTTAAAAAATCAATCATAAGAAATTGTTAAGATTCGCCTTTGGATAAGATTTTTGAAATTTGGCTAATACTTTTGTTATTTGGCTAATTTAATGGCTAATAATTTGAAGTCCTTAGCACGGGCCTTGCAATATCATTTTTCATTGTTTAGTGTCAATTTTTTTATGCAAGAAACATCATTAAATACCTAAATTTTAAGTTTATTTGTGAAATTATTAATTAATATAATACTGCATTTTATTAATAGTAGTATAAGGGAAATTCTGGTTAGGAAAATGCTTATATTCAGCTAATTCAAATTTTGATTTGGAAGTGCCTGACACAAAAAAAAAGGAATATGGCTTTCCCAAAGCAATATAATTTAATTCATTTCTTTTAGGTTAACAGTAAGTCATTGAAGTACATCACACTTTCTGAAAACCAACTCTACTGTAGCTGTGAACTTTCATGGATTTGGGAATGGATAAAGGATTACGAACATGAAAACCGATGTAATGAAAATATTTGTGATGATGCATACATTCAAAATTTACGTGACACAAAGTGCATGAACATGAACAATAGATCCTTAATAGATGTATTTAAAGTTGACCTGGATTGTTTCTCTCATGGATCAGCACATAATTGTATTTCCTTACCAGTGTCAATAATTTTAAGTTCCTTTGTACTGCATCTATTTATCAACTTAATGTTAAATTAGATTTAGATGTAAACCATAATAGACATTTAATAAATTTAAACATTTAACTTAAGAAATTATGCAAACAAAATATTAAATCAAATGTAAAACATTCAAATATTATTGACATTTGAATGATTCTTTATAAATCTCTCAATTGAGTTAAAGATGAACTGAAATTCATTATTGTAAAATGAGCTATAATACCTAAAGCAGTAAGAAAAATAAAAACCTATACAAAGGTATTATACAAAGTATATTTGTTATTAGATAAAGTATATTAGTTATTATATAAAGTATATTAGTTATTATACAAATATATTAGTTATTATACAAAACGTATATTATAATTACTGCATCTTAATCTTCTTTAATTAGAATAAATGTCAAATTTTCATTCAAAAAATTTTATTTTACTTTTTGAAAACTTTTGAAACCTTGTAGTTTTATAATTTACATGAAAGTATATTTTTTAATTTTATTGCTTGAAGAGATTCAAAATGAAATATTTCTAATAATTTATTTCCATTTCAGTAAATAAAAAAAATAAAAAAATTATTGCATTTTTACAAAAGACACACAAAGAAAATATTAGTTGAAATGATAAAAAAGAGATTTAAAAAAAAGTAAAGTAATTCATTAATTTTCTATAAAAATGTTATACAAGGCTAAGAGTTCAAAAATTGTGAATAGCACTAACTAAATCAATTTAAAAAGAATCTTAAGGCATTAGTTCATTCCCTTAATAAATAAATTAGCTCTACTTTATTAATATATTTTTTATCGTCTAGAATACCCATGGTTTCCATTTATAAAAAATATACAATTTTATCACTTTCTTAAAGTCAGAATAGATCCTATTTCAGTAAAAGTTTTATAATAGAAGTAATCAAAACAAATATTATTTTAAAAAAAACTTACCTTTTCAGATAAAATAACTTGCTGTTTTAGATAAAAGCTTAAAATTTCTTCCAAACCTTCTACTTCTCTTTGAGTCCACTAAAAAATATTAAAACTTCAAACAATAAATATTTGGCCACAATCATGAAATATACAAATTATATTTGGAAAACCTATAAAAATATTGTACTTGAATAAATTAATTAATAAAATAAATAAATTTTCAGAGAAACTTTTCATGAGATATAGGTTTAGCAATTGTGTTTACAATAATTAGTCTCAAAGAAATTATTTTATTCTGTTCTATGTTACATAATTAAAAATAAATTATTAAAAGAAATGACTTATAAGTTATCATTTTACATTTTTAGCAATTGCAAAACAGGTGGCAAGTATACTTGTCATGCTCTCGTAAAAAGTGAACAAAAGTAAGGTTTGAGTAATTTAACTATTTTTCTTATACTAACTGAGTAAAAATTTAGTTAATCTAATGTTTCAAAACTAAAGGAGTTTTTTCCATGAATAATTAGATTTATTTGTAATTTTATCTAGGTAATATATTTACTTGCTTAATATATTAACTAAAATCGTAACAAACATTAACAGTTATGATAAAAACACATTACAACAGGTATAATAATTTTGCATTTGAGTAAAATAACATGAATTCACAGTCTGTGCTTGTAACAAATAAATAACGGCTCACTTGCAATGCAAACCTGAGACTTGTTACTTACGTAACCTGTTTAAAAACTCAATTTAGACAAATTTAATAAATTTTAAATATATTCTCTGTCATTTACTAAACTATCTAAACCTTCTGCTAATACTTAAAATACAATAATGTCTAAATAAATAAAGCTCTTCCTCATGGTAATTTAATGTTTTCAAATATTTTTTGTAACAGTTGTAAGTTTACTTATATGAATTAATTATGTTTTCACATCAAATAAAACTATAAAAAACCTGATTTTAGGTATTTATCCAGGGCAAAGATAATTACTCTGTTTATATTGTAAATGCCTAACCCATATCTCTAGCCATAAAACTAGTAACTTGGTACTCTAAATTATCAAGTCTGAGTCTATCTCAAGTCATTCTTTGTTGCTCTTATTGCCAAGTATGACAAAATTTAGAATGTACAGAATTAAGAGTTCTAATACATATCACAGAACTTGACTGATTTCTTTGATTTGATTGTCAGTAGAGGAAAATCCGTTTCATTATCTGATATGAGAACCATCTGAAACGATTCTCCTTCCAGCAGACTAGACAAATATATACACTAAAAACACAAATCTAGTAATATATTATCTAAATGCATAACTAAGTACACGATAGTTTTAATAGTAGTTTTGTAGCAGATCAAATAGTTATTTCGTTCAGTTCCAAGTAAATCAAATGAGAATTTTGTAGAAACAAATAAATATGAAGCAAATAAAACTGGATTTATAAGTTTAATTTTAAGTTTTTTTGTTGGCTTTTTGGTACTAGCACCTAAAAATAAATTTTATAATTTTGAAAAAAATATATTATAGAATTTAAAGTAGTTATTCGACTTAAAAAGCAAATACATATTTTGAATGTGAAAAAAAGACTCTTAATAACTCTTATAACATGTAAATATTATAAGAGTTATTATAATATAGAGACTCTTATAACATGTAAAATATTATATATACTTATATTTAACACTAAACATACATTTCAGCTCTTATTAAATGCTTTGATATAGGAAACAACCTAGACTAAAATCATTCTTCTTGAAGATTTAGCAAAATGATTGGGCAACATTTTAAGTACTTCAGATTCCATAAATTATTTTATTATTTCTTGCTCTATAGTCATTAGAGTTAGTTCAGATTTGAAGTGAAAAATAGATTTTAAAATGCAGTTGTCGGACAGCATGGGATTAAATTATAGACTTTTATAGTTTCTAAAAGAAGGAAACTTCATTTTTTATGTATTATTATCATTCTTTAAATATAACAAAAGATATAACAAAACTTAATTTTAAAAGACAGCAATTTTTATATCATTTTCATTGACATTTAGAAGCGCAATAGCAATTCAAAAATAAAATATTTCAAATTAAGAAGAAAGGCATTTTAAAACAAAAGTATTTATTTAAAAATAGATATAAAAAAGAAGACAATTATTTAATTTGATTTTTCGAAAATTATGATGACTGACATTTATGCACATACCAATCAAATTATTCAAAATGTATCAAGTACTAGATTAGAATTCACTAAATGTGCGCATTTAAATGATGTAATTATAAAAAATTTTTTTTATAAAAATCAGCATTACTAGAGAAGTAAAAAAATATAAAATTTTGCTTAATAAATCTTATTTAGATAATTAAATTTAGTAATATTTAGCCCTTATCAAATACAGTTGATTTTATTTATTAATTTTCCATTCGGTGCTCTTGATTCGCCCCTTCCATGGATTTCATCACAATTTGAGGGAAGATTTAATCAGTATTTAACGATATCAAAAAATATTTACATGCCTGGCTGGGCATATAAGGATAAGTCCTGCTGAAAACAGTATTTCCTAAGCAATATTAAATTTACGCTTTCATATGTAAGGTGTGCACTACATAAATGGATATAAACTTTAAGAGACTAAAACTAAACAACCAAAGGAAAAAAATAAGGAATAAACAAAACCGTAATCAATAAATAAAAAAAAGAAGCTGAAATTGAAATCACAAGGAACACCAAAAGATTTTCCCCCCAATCTTTTTTTTTAATGCAAACAATTGTCTAGATTAGTGAGGGCGTAGAATAAATTATGAATATTCATAGTTAATTATATCCTTTTATTTTCTTCTTATGTATAAAAGATTGTATAGTAAATGAGTGTCTCTTTTAGAAGCTTAAAATTTCATAGAGTTTAATACAAATAAATTATTTTATATGGCGATATTTGTTACATTGAAAAGACAGGATATTATTTCTTCCCTACCATCTGCAGGGTCATTCTTTCTGCAATTATTATTAATGACCTGTTTTGTTTTGATTTGAATTCTGAATTCAAAACATCTACTAATTAATATTTCATCACGATAAAATTAGTAAGTATACTAGCAAAAATGACTAGTTAAAAAAAGCAACTATAAATTTGAACTATAAATGAAAAATAAAAGTAACTATAAATTATGTTTTATATTACTAGACATTAATATTATTAATACAATTTAAATAAATAATTTTTCTGTAATCTTAAAATAAAAATATTTCATTTGCCTTAAAAGCAATGCATTTTTTTTTTAATTTAAAAAATTCTTATGACAACAATGATACAGACAAAAATGTAAAACAGTATAAATGATAAAAACTTCACAGGCTTCAAAAAACATAAAGATAGAAATAAAGGTAGACATGTTTTGCACATTCAAAAATAGACGTCCATTCTCGTTTTTGAACACTCAAAACATGCCTACTTTTATTATCATCTTCATATTTTTTTTAAATCAATGAAGTTTTTATCTTTTCACTTCAATCCTGTGGCAAAATTTTTTTGAGCTTTCCAGTAGCTGCCAAAAAAAAGATAGACAATGAAATCACGTGAAACGGACTCTTGTATAGTCATTTGATATTTCAGTTAAGAATGATAATTTAGAACATATAGATAGCCAACCTCCCAGCTTATTTGATTGCTTATTTATTCATTTTTATTTGAATCTTTAGAGAGTAACAGTAAATTTAATGATTTAACACTTTATTATTGATTTAATTAATTAAATTTTGAATAGTTTCCACTACTACATACCAACAAAGTAAATATATATGATATATACATGGTGTAGCTCTCCAATACAGAAGCTAATATATAAAGTATAACATATTTATAATATATTGCTATAATGTCTAAGCTTTAACATTAATTGTTCTATCTCTCAACCATCACTAAACACCACCTTGCTCCAACATATATATGAAACCTATTAATTAAACAGAAAAGTTTTTAAGTGCAAGCAAAATTAAACTAATAAAGTTTAACTTCAATTGTTAATTGGCTACCACTTATTCTGGGAAGTTAGCAGGCCCATCATCAACGGAGAGAGGGGTTGAGAGGGGTGTCTCACCCCCAACGATTTCATTCAGTCGGCAAATTCAAGTTGAGACGGCATTTTTTTTCTTTTCCTTTCTTTAGCATTAGTTGTACAAGATGAACAGATTACGATTGTTAGATTACGTTTTGAGAAGGAGATAAAAACTGCTTAAGGTGTATTTATATGCGTAGGTTCAATCATAGTCTCGAATCAGCCCAAATCTCTAAGCTGGGGCTTGCCTTCTCTTTGTGTTGCAAGCTTGATCGAAATAGATTTAAACATTCTCAGTATTTTGCCAATATTGCGATTTCATCACGGACCCGACTCTGCAAATCTTGCTCTGAAATGTGAGTTTTCCAATTGAGTTTTTTTTTTTCACTGCAAGAGTAACCACTTATGATAATTCGAAGTAAGATGATCGATAATACAAGCCAAAATTCTTTCATTGTCGGATATTTCATCGGTGATGAGATTTAAATGGATTTCAATGGTATCCGCGTTTTGTCCATTTTGGGATTATGTCCCAGATCTGACTCGGCAAATCTTGCTGTGAAATGTGAGTTTTCCAATTCAGTTTTTTATTCTCCTCCAAGAGCAACTATTTATGATAATTCGAAGAAAGATGACCTACAATACAAGTCAAGATCTCAACTTTGCCGAAATTCTTTAATTGTCAGATATTTTATCAGTGATGAGACTTAATCAGATTTCAATTTTATCTGAGTTTAATTAATTTTGGGAATTTGTCCTGGACCCAACTCGGCAAATTTTGCTGTGAAATGTGTTCCCAAATTTAGTTTTGTTCCCCCTCCAAGAGTAACAATTTGTGATAATTCGAAGCAAGATAACCGATAATACAAGCCAAAATCTCAAGAACCATTTCTCTTGTATTATTATTTCCAAGACACATTCTTAAGTTTAAACAATTTTAGTGACCTTATTTTTTAGTTAGCTAATAATGTACCATAAAATTCAGATATTAATTCTCTGAATTATATTAACTCTTAATTAGAGGTTTAAGTAGTCTTTTAAAGAAAGTGATGAACTTACATGAGTCTTTTTTAAAAAATTAAAACATTTTAAATTATATGATCGTGCCGGTGATGCAACCTATTTTTTTTTTCTTTTACTTTCAACATATTGGGAAAAAAACTACACATAAGAGTACTTATAAAATAGGATACTTTATTATTCAAAATATCTTATTTAAATTGTTAAATTCTGTTTAAATAACACAAATTATTAAATAATTTATATTTTCAATTGATAAAAGCTATTTTTCTTCTATGAATTTTTTTACTAACTCCAAATGACTATAAACATTTTTTTAAAAACATTTAATTTGTTAACTACGCTTCAGTTCATAATTTTAATTTATATGATGATTGGATTATTATTTGTATTACATTGTTTTTAACTTAAAATAAATTGTTCAAGGATCAATTCATATCTTTAGAACAATTAATCATCACAACAAAATTTGGTATTTTCTATGGAAAATAGTAAACATATATGTGATCCTCAATTCACATTTTATTGAAAATGTGATGTGTTTAAAAATTGAAAAGTTTCAGTTTTTCTTTTATTTATAAATAATTCTTTTTATATATATTGCTACTGTGTTGAAGTTATTTCTTATGTATTTAATGTTTTTTAAATTATCTTTTTGACTAAAGATAACAGTTTTCCATTTCTTTCAGTTAATTGTCAGTAAAAAAAACCTTAAAAATTTTATAATTATGCCATTAACCGCACCAGTGGCAGTTGCGACAAATGAAAGAATTTTCAGCAAGTTGAAATTGATTAAAAACCATCTACGAACAACAATACTGGTGAACGCCTAAATTCGCAGCTTTTACTCAAAGCAGAAAAAGATATTGCTGACAATATTAAGCTTGATAAGTTGGCAAAACATTTTTCACTTTTAAAACAACACTGAATAAAATTTACGTAGCTAATATAATTAATGTAATGTAACTTTGCTAATATCTTAATTTTTTTATCCTTTTTATGTGAATTTCTTAATTTATAATTTAAATGGCATAGATTTTCAATGTTTTTCTATATTATTTTTTGAAAAATGAAAGGACAATTTACTTTTGAATCAATTTCTGATAGAAGACTGTATTTGCTGATTATGACTTACTTTCTTATCTTCAAACAGTTGCTCTAATTGTCTATGGTAACAACGTTTAGATGAAACAAAATGAAAATTTTAATAACTAAGTGATTTTTCAAAAAATATTTAAAGTAAAAGTATTTGAAAGTTGCATTGAAAAACATTTAAATTCACAACTTTATTTTTAAAAATTATTTCCACAAATAATTACTGATAATAATTACTGAAAACTTATTTCAATTGAATAGGTTTCAGTTTATTTAAAAATAGTTATTTTTTTAAAAATATTTTGTTACCAATTTAATAATAAAAATTAGTAGAAATGCAAAAAATTAATTTTCTTTTTATTATTTTGAATAATTACTGGAACCATTTAGTAATTAATAATACCACATTTATCACCTATGGCGATTGAATTTTTAAGTGCTGTAAAAATCATTTCGATGGATAACATTATGTTTAGAACTAATCGAAATGATTTCAAAATAAACTTTGGAAGCTCAAGTTTTGCGGCACATTTGAACTCTTTTATTTGTTTTGTTTCGTTTCACCTTTGATTATTAAGCTCTACCCAAATACAAATTGCATGTGTGTGTGTATAGATATATATATATAACATTCGGCAAAATAAACTTCAATACCCCCCTCTCGAATCGGCTAGCAACGGGCCGGGAAGTGAGGACTTCCAAGTTGACAGTTATGGTATACATTTATAAACTTACTAACTTACCCTGGTAGAAAATTGACTTTCTATCTTTTCACATTCATTTTGCAAAACTTCAAGAAAATTGCTATCATTATCAAAAGTTACTCTAGTGGCATCATGAGTATCCACTAAATACATTAAACCATGTTCACATGCTTTTTTTATCATCAAACCCATCATTGTGCATGTCTCTAAAGCCTAAAAAAATATAAAAGACATATAAATGAAATATATGAATGCATAAAATCGAATTTTAATAAATTGACAAATTAAACGGGTATAAAAAAGTTTTCAAATACAGATTTTTTTTAAAGGAACAAAATAATATTAAAGTACCAGTATCAATTTTTTTCCACTAGCATAGATTTATTTTTATATAACTTTAATTGACATTTATATTTTATAATACAGTCAAACCCCGCTATAGTGAACATGGTTTATAGTGAACTCCCAGATATAGTGAACGAAATATTCTCTTCCTTGCCTTACAACACACATATAATGCTATATTTTAGGATATAGTGAACCAAAAGAAGAGAGGTAATTGGATATAATGAACTTTTTCTGCCTTCGACTGAATTTTTTTCTCCATTTTTTTTGGTAATTTTGAAATTTCTACATAAAATACATATACTGATTTTTAAAACCATCTATTGAATGTAATGTAGAAATAAGCATTTTTTCTTGTTTACTTTTCTACCTCAGTTTCCCATCCCTAAATAAAGGCCATCCCTAAATTTTTTATACATAAGACAAAGAGTAGTAAAAAATAAAAGTTAACACATTTTTTGTTACAACATATCGATTTTTAATCATGTATTTAAATAATGCGTAATAAAAAGGGAGCAGTTCGGAAAATTAGTTAAAATTGTTTGTGGTACAGACATAGTAAAGTCCTGGTTATAGAGAACCGAAATTTCGGTCCCTGGGTTCAACTGTAGTAACGCAGACAGTTTAAATTAAAATTGTTTTTGATCATAAAATTGAGTTTATTTCAGAAACAAAACCCTATACTATGCATTAGCGACCATTAAAAAGTAAAATTTTTTAAAAATTAAGCACTTAAATTTGAATAATGCACCCTCCTTTAATTCATATAACACGCTTTATTGAATAGTATTGGCTGGAACCAATGGTATTTCTTTAAGTGGGGTTGACTGTACTTGAAAATCACAGTAAACTGTACTTGTAAACTAATAACAACAATAACCTAATTCGCATGAGTGGGCAATTTCAATCAACTATACTAACATAATAAAATAGAGATTAGCAAATTACTCTGCCATAAAAAGGCAGAGGACCAGCTTTTTGCCTTAATGTTTCATTATGACTCTGACTATGAAGGATCATGCTCTGAAGCTTTTATATAAGTATGATGATTGTGCACTTACAGCTATTAGGAAGTTTCTGACATTAAAATCCATAAAATTGGGCCCAATGACCACAAATGGTCTGCGAAAAAGGATTGAATTTCGAAGAGACAGATTCATTTGATGTGAAAAGGGTAGAGGAAGGAAACCATATTCGGCCGTGCCAGAAGAAGATGTGGCTACAGCATTACAAGAATAGATGAGCGGTGTTACTGGAATCAGCAGTGCCTGGGGAATTGGCTGAATGCTGGATATGCCGATCAGCATGGTGTGTATCTTGAGTTACTGTACAATATAACTCATGTGCAGCAGTTCTATCTTCTGACCTGGAAGCAAGTGAATATTTTCTACTAAGATTGCTTGCCAGATGAAAGTTGAAAAAAAATGGCCATGGAACATTCTGCGGTCTCATGAAACCCACATCCTTCTGCAAATTTCCATAAATATGCAAAATTGCAGGATATGGGCAACCAAGAATTTGTTCCAGCTACGGTCATTATTTCTTCACTCTGAAAAGATCACGTTGTGGCGCGAAATAACGTCAGAGTTTATCGTCGGTCTATTTTTCTTTTACGAGATCACATCTGCAGGACCTGCAACCTGCACTGTAACTGGCAAGCGTTATGAAGCACTTTTGCGTAACCATGTCCTTTAAGCACTTCTGCATGTGGATCACACTATATTCATTCAAGATGGCACGCCTCTACATTGCTACTCCTGTGAAGCAGCTGCCGAGTGCTCATTTCGGAGATAAAATATTAAGTCACCATTTTCCAAACACCATGTTCCCCTGACTTAAACCCGCATGATTTTTTGTTTTGAGGGTACCTGAAGAATGTTTTTACAGCCGACGGACTGAGAATCTAGCCGACTTGAAGGCAAGCATCACATACCACATCTATTGCATCAATATGCATACCCTCCAATCTGTTGTGAAGTATGCCGTTTTGCATTTCTAATTAGTAGCAGAGCAAGGCGGAGGGCACATCAAACAACTTATGCCTTAATCATCAGTAAAATATTTGTTCCATGAAGCTATTTATTATTTTTTAGCATTATCACAGTTGTCACTGTAAATACCTATTCTTGTTTTTTTTGCTTAATACCGAAATTTTTAGAAAACCCCTAAACTCTATTATTTCCTTTTGGCTAACAACAGTTCTGTGTGTAATGAATCCATTTTTGGTCTTTTTCCTAACAGCGTCATCTATCAGCAGATTTTGGAGCTATTTTTTTTCCTTTACCAAGCAAAATTCCATGGCTTTACCATGGTTCAGCTAAAATATCAGGTCATTCTGAAGAGCAGTTTTAAATTGATCCGATTTTTGAAATCGTAACTTTAATTATAATCACCCTGAATATTTTAAGCTATGAAATCAGACACAAAAGCATACTTTCTCCGAGTAAGCATGCTCGTATCTCTGAATAATTGTTACATATACCTTTATTATAATGGATTTGAAGTTTTAATCCTCATACCATGGGGGTTAGCCACAACCCGCCTAACAAGATTCCATTGGTTCAGGCAGGAAAACATATAAAAGTTTGAGTATCTTAAAGCTAATTTTCTTTTTTAAGGTATTTTGACAGCTCTTCAAAAATTATTGATGCCATTCAGAAAAACTTTGCATATAATTATGAAACTTGCTTATGCAAAGATAATTCTATTAGCATATCTAATTAACATATTTTTATAATTATTCATTATTTTTTATTAATTGATTGACTATTGGTGAACATTTTTTCAACTGCAGTTTTATAAATTTTTACACTAACAAACTAAATTTAAATAATGAGATCCAAACTTAAAAGGGAATCGGTGGAATAGTTCTTTGAGAAATAAAATTAAAAAATCTGACTGCTTTTAAATGGGAAATCTAACAACAAGTGAAATTAACATAAAGGGGCTAGAGTTTCAAACTCCATCCTACCTAAACTATTCAAACTATAAGAGCCATATTTTCCAGATTGCAGCAACTCCCTTTATTTTGGGAGACAGAAATATGAATCTGTCGAAAACGAAAATAATTATAAATTTTTCTTTTTACATAGAATTATCTTAGCATAAGCATTCAAATAATTCTGAGCTAAGTTTTTCTGAATAGCATCGATAACTTCCAAAGCAATGGGAAAATATGGAAAAAGTAAAACTAGCATTAAGGGGTCCAAACTTTAAACTGCTTTCCAAAACAAACTATTATGACCATATTTCCCAGATTGCGGCTACCCCCTATATTTTGGGAGTCAGGAATCCACATTCATGGAAATAAAAGTATGCTTACTCAGAGAAAGTATTCTGTGTTTGATTTTGTAACTTAAAATATTGTCCACACTATTTAATTAGCATATTTGTGGACAGCGCCTTGAACCATTAAGATTGTCCTAGAATGTGAAGATCCAATTATTAGATCAAAAGTAATTCAGTGTGATACATTTAATTTTTGTTCACTGAACAATTGACTAAAAAAATAGAATATGCATTAAAAGTTCATTTTTGAAAGCAGCAAGTTTTTTAAAAAGTATCTATTTACATTCAAATAAATATTTATTTTATATTGAATTCATGTTTAATTGCCTGAATCAAATCAGCTATTAAATTCATGTAATTATTAAAGTGGTGCTTTTTTTTTTATTCGATTTCTTATTCCATGATCTTCTTTACTTTCTCTACAAGAGCTTTTTCTCCCAGTGCTTTTTTCTGTAGTTCTAGTATAAAATGCCACTTATTGTATTGTAGAAATTCACAACCTTTTATTGTTTGTGGAGAAAATGTGTAAGTTGTTGTAGATAAGATAAGTCAATTCTATTAAAATTAATAAAATTTAAACAATATTTCATTGAAATTAATAAAATTTAAACGTTATTCCTTTAAAAACTAATAAATTTAAACAGTTTTTCCATTAAAACTAATAAACTTTAAATAGTTTACCATTCAAATTTACTAAAACTTCAACAGCATTCTAAGAAAATTGTGCAGTTTTCCATTAAATTAATTTTTGTCAATTTCTTAAAAACCTGACATGACAGAGCAAAATGGTTTTAAGATTTGAAATCAGTAGATTAAACTACATTAGAAAAGGTAAACACTATGCCAGATGTCCATAACTTGTTTATCAGCGCTTTTTCAAAAAGTAAATTTTGTTTCAAATGAGAAATTATTGCTCATAAAAAATGTTAACCTCAGCTATATTTGTTATTTTATTTTCGAAAGTCTAATAGTTTGTTTGTCAGGTAGGCTGATGAATCTTTTATATTGCACCTTTACAGCTTAAATGTACACACAATGGTATAATAAGTATAAACATTTAGAATAAAGATTCATAAAATATGTATTGTAATTTGAATTTACTTACTTTAGATTGAACTTTTCTTTGCTTCTTAACTTTTTCTTGATTAAGAAATATTGTATCACACAAAATCAATGTCTTTCCAGGTATTGGGCATAAATTATGTAGAGAAGATATTTCTAAAGCCTTGTTTATAGCTTCTTGATAACGTGATAAAATAATAGAAGATGCTTTATGAATTCTGAAATTTAACAATGGAGGATAAATTTTATGTATAGCTCTCAAAACATTTAAATAAAGTGAATGATTGCTACAGAAACGCTATAATCTAAGACCTTTCGCAAGAACTACACGTAAATTTCAACGAGAACAAAAAATGCCCTCTTCTTTTTAAGTGCAAAATTATAACATCTATTAAAATATCTATAATATATAATAAATAGTATAATATATACTCAAGTTCAATTTTTCTTTTTCTCTAACACAAGAAAAATCACTTCAAAAACAGAAGTTATATATTTATACAGCTTTGATTCAAAATATTAGAATGCATAAAAAAAATCAAAATTTAAATAATATCTTACTTAATTTGCTTTTTTATTACTTAAATTAAACTACAACATCAATGAGTCAGACCTACATGCTTTACAGTATTTTTAAACATTAAATTTTTCTATTATTTTTAAGCATTAATTTACCTGACCATTAAATTTAAAAAAAAATAAAAATATTAAAAAATAAATGATGTAGTTCAAAATACTAGAATATTTCATTATAAACACTAAAATTCAATTATAAATGGAACATAAAAAGTTTAATATTTTGTAGCATCCTCTTAAGCTTTGTTCACTTATGCATATACACGATCTTGCTTGGAATAAACAAGATTTTAACAGTCTTTTTTGTCTACATTAGGCCAAGCATTTGAAGCTCCACACTGACTCATCTTTACTTGTAGGATCAAGTTCTTGCAATTTTTTCTTTATCATATCCCAAAAGTTTCAATTGAGCAAGATATGTGATTGCTGAAAGATGAAATTATCTGAATTCTTTCATCATTTTGTGCAAAGACTGATGTTGAATGAATTGAATTCTGTGTTACGTAATAATGTATAAACAATATAGGGAATTGAAAAAAACATTGAGAACAGTTGTGGCATTTATATCCAATAAAACTATTAAATCACTGCCTGGATGCTATGGTATGACGGAGGCAGGGATGAGAGTAGTCAGAAAGTAAAAAAGAGGAAATCCATGAATGAATGAATATATATATATATATATATATACACACACGAAAATTTGACAAAAAAGTGAGATCTTTAAACTTGTAAACCACGCGATTATAAATCCTGATGATTAATTTTAAAACTGTATGAATATATAAATATTAATCACATGCTTTAATTTTAAATTGAGAGAATATGAGTCCTGATATGAGGCTTTCAAATCACGTGAATATGAAACTCTATACCGAATTTTAAAAAATGCAGAAATCCAAATCATGATGCGTAATTTTTAGAGCACGCAAACACGAATCACGATGCATAATTTTCAAATAGCACAAATATAAATCACAATGTCTAATTTTTAAACCACGTTAAGTGCGAAAATCGATGTTTGATATTACAACCACAAAAACATATCACGACATAGAATTTTAAGCTCGCATGAATACGAATCGCTACATAGGGTTTTTAAAGCGCGTAAATACAAATTGCTATATTGGATTGGATTTTGCATAAATACGAAAATCGATGTTTGATATTACAACTGCAAAAACGAATCACGACATAGGATTTTAAGCTCGCGTGAATATGAATCGCTACATAGGGTTTTAAAAGCGCGTAAATACAAATCGCTATATTGGATTGGATTTCGTATAAATACGAAAATCAATGTTTGATATTACAACCGCAAAAACGAATCACGTCATAGGATTTTAAGCTCGCTTGAATATGAATCGCTACATAGGGTTCTAAAAGCGCGTAAATACTAATCGTTTTATTGGATTTTTATATCTCGTAAATAAGAATCACAATGTACGATATTTAAATCGCCTGAATAACACTCGTAACGTTCAACTTTTAAATCAGGTAAATACGAAAATCGATGTTTGACAATAAAATCGCGATTTTAAAAATGCATAAATACAAAAAGCGATATTGGATTTTTAAATCTCGTAGCTAAGAATCTTAATGTACGATGTTTAAATAACGTAAATAAGAATCACATTGCGAAACTTTTAAATCAGGTAAATACGAAAATCGATGATAGGTATTAAAATCGCGAGAGACTGGACTTGAGATGACTAAAAGGCTTGTTTGTATTGTTTTTGTTTCGGCATAATAAAAATTTACAAGATTAATTGAATAAGCAAATAAATATTTTCATTGCAAATCCACGTTTATTATTTTATTTATTATTTTTTTTTTCGTTTGCTGTCAAGCCAGACGGCAGGGTCACGACGCCTGAATTGCAAAAATACGAGCTATCCGGCGGACGAATAAAAATACGGAAAATCTTATTTTCTGTGAAGAGAAAATAGCTAAAATAAGTAAAAATATGGAAGGGTTAGTAGCTAGGATGTAGTTTGAATTTTCTGTTTATCTTTGAAAATCGTAAATAAATATGATTATTTTATTTTAATGATTGAATTTCAAGGGGAAAAAAAACGGGATATTTATTTTTTAAAAAAAACAAAACTTTCAGAGAATCCGAGTTTTTGATAAAAAGGCTGAAATTCGAAAGGCAAAAGCGAAAAAATCTCATCCCTGTATAAAGGTCAACCAGTTTTATCCCTAGGAAATGATTTTTTTAGAAACTTCAGAGGGAGGAATGAGGACTTCCATGCTTTCGCTCCGCGGAAAATTAAATTCCTCATAAAATATTTTAACTTGTTCAAAAAAAATGTGCGCGGAAATTCGCGGAAGAATCTCATCCCTGCAAAGGGTACCAACGATGGTATTTACACTAATCGAACGTCACGAAAAGTGATTACTCAAACACCCTATTCAAATTTTGTGTCGTAAAAATATAAAAATTTTAAATCTAGGAGAAAATCAATTGCGTTAACTGCAATAGAGGAATAGGAAAAAACAGATTGAAACGTGGATTTACGATGGTATTAAGCACTCTGAAAAATTATCCCTCAAATGAGCGATTTGAAATTTTTAATACTGTATTTCAAATTTGAAATTTTTATTTCAAAATTTTTAACAAAGTGTCAAATTTTCAGACACAAACTATCTAAGAATAACTTTTCTCATTTGTTTTAATTTTAAAGAAATAACATTTAAATTTTAAAAAATTTATTACAAATTTTTTTATTAGCACCTTAATTAATATCTTTATCAATCAAGTTTTTCACTTTTTAATATATAAAAGATATAAGTCAAATACCTTTAACTTTAACCTTACTTTTCATAAACCTTTTCAGCATGTTTCTTTTTCCATTCAGTTAAGCTAGGCTTGCAAATTTCCTCTTTATCTTTTGTTAGTAGTACTTTCAACTCTTCTACCACTTTGTATGCTTCAAAAAATTGCAGCGGTACTTGTCGACAATTTATTACAGCATTCTACAAGGAAAACAAATTGGTAAAATATTTTATTAAATGAAGTTAGAAACTTTAATCCATTTTAAAAATTGACACACAATATTGTTTAGCATATTCAAAAGACAACATATAAGGAAGAAAAAACATGCACTTCAATAGTATAAAAAACACAACCTAACTTTAGAATATGTTATGGAGAAATAATTATCACATTCTGAAAGTAGAAGGAACCTTTGGAGATTTGATTATAAAATATTATTGAATGTAATGAATAATAATGTAATGAATTCGTATGTATGTGTATAATTTTGTCAATACTCTTTTGTTATGATGGCTAAATACCTCAGGAGGACTCTAAATAAACAGCTTAATTAGAAAATTTGCAAGACAGCAGCGTAATACTAACGTAATTTAGAGAGGAAATAACGCCTAATGCATTTCTTTTGGAAAACTCTGTTTGGTGACATTTTTTAAACTTGGCAATAAATTTGGAGACTTAGCAACAAAATGAGAGTTCTGGAAAATTCGACTTTTGAAGCCATAGGATTAATATTTAGGGAGTTAGACAAGAATTGTCTACAATCAGGTCGAAAGTTCCGGGGCTTTGTCGCCAAGCCTATATAAATAGGAGTGTGCATTACAGAGTAGTGATTATTAGTCTGCTTGTGACAGCAATAGCGTTTTGATTTGGGAGTCTGTTGTTAGTTTATTGAATCATCTGAGGTTGTAAAATTTGTGTCCTACACTGCTATTTCAGCTGTAATTGAGTGCTTAGAAATAGCGGTATTTTCTGAAAGATTGTCCTAATAAATTTTGGGGGTCCTAAACACTGTTCTCTTCATCTCCAATCAACACAAACCCCTGTGCTTGGCACAGTTTTGGCGTCAGAAGTGGGATTGGAGTGAATGCCAACTACAAGAGAAATGACTACAGATCAGTTAATGAAGATGGCTCAAAAAATGTAGACCATTGGAATAAATATTTTCTGTTGAGAAATTTTCAAAACGCACTAAATTGTTAACTTCAAACGGTTAAATTTTTAACTTCAAACGGTTATTAAAAAAGTCCAATTTTTGAAACTGTATAATTATTCCATACCAGATTTATAACATATGGTTATAACATGTTTTTATAATGGGTTAAAGTTGTAAGTTCTGAAAATAAATTTAAAAAAAACACATAACATAAAAAAATCAAAATTTCTTATTCAAATAAAATGGTGCCTTAACGCACCATTGGCCGAATGCATGAGAAACAAGCAAAATGTGAAAACTCACTCTTTTGCAAGGTTTCAGAGTTTTATTGTATATTTAGAGTTTCAGTTTTATTGTCCTGAGGCTAAGAGTGATCAACAAAATATACCATTAGGAAGAAGCGTTGTTCTGCAGTTACTTAGCGTTGCTTTAAGAAATGAGATGCACAAAATTTATTTCGATAGCTTTTTCTCCTCCTAGTTTTTTTTCGAAATTTTGAAAGAAAAGGGTTTTTTTGCACCTGGCACAGCTGGCAAAAATCGTATTACTGGTTGTATATAGGATGACTCCAAAAATATGAAGAAAAAAAACAATGTGTTGAATACAAAATCGTTGGAACCGTTGGAAACATGTGCATTGAAATGAAATGACAATGCTGTGATAACAATTGTTACTGATAACGCTACCATTTTGCCCCTTGTAAATGCCAAACGATATAGTCACAAAGAAAGAAGTTGTGATTTCACAATTCAACGTTCTTTTGGATTACGATCAGCATATGTTAGGTGTTGACCTACATGACAATGCCATAGCTAATTATCTCATCAAGATTCAAGGTAAGAAAAGGTGGACATTATTTACAAACATCATTGATAGCAGTATAATAAATTCATGGAAGTTACATAGAATTTCAACTAGCTCAAAAATATCACTTATAGACTTAAGATCTTATATAGCTATTGTTCTATTAAAATCTGAATCCAAAAAGAATCCAACTGGTGAAAGTACATTATAAGTTACCCATCCTAACAAAGGTCACCTATCATCTGCAGCTCTACCAAAAGAAGTACGAACTGATAGAATCGGACATACAATAAGTGAGCATGGAGAGAAAAAACACCCACAGAGGATGTAAAGATGTAGAGTGTGCAAAAACCACACAATTTATTTATGTATCAAATGCAAAGTCTATTTGCATCCAAAATGTTTAGAATGTTTCCATTAAAAATATAACTGTTGAACTAAACGAATTGTTCATTGATCTCAGGTCAATGGTGCATATACACCCCATTTTATTTCTTAAATAAAATATTATTTTCCATGCATGAAACTTATTTCTTGCCTTAATGATTAAAACATATTTCAATGAAAATAATACATTTTATAAAATTTCTATCCTCTGCCTAAAATGGGTTAAACTTATTCTTGCCTTTAAACTTCTCATTAAGGTAAGCTTGATCAAAATTTCCATCAGAATTAGGTTTATCATCCTCAGTCATTAATCTAGTTTTAACGTTATCGATAGTTATCTCTTCCCCACAATTTTTCAAAGCCAAGGTAAGAGGTTCAAATCTATCACATAAGTTTGTTAAAATTATTCCAGCTATTAGTTCATCATCTGCTTTAACTCCTGTTGATTTTAATTGCAGATATGCTGAAATCACTTTACGAAGGTAGTCCCACATATTTCTACAATCAGTATACTTAGTGTTAATCAATTCTTTAATTACAGACACTTTTCTAGTTATTCCTTTATCATCATAAATTTTTGATAATACTTCCCAGGCTTCTTTGCCACTAGATAAGACTCAAATCATTAAAAATTGTTTCACTAACCCCTTCAACTATGTATGACAAAGCTTTGGCATCTAAATTTGCATCTTCCTTTTTTCCTTCTACATAAGCTCATAAATCTCTTTTGATTAGGTGCATCTTCATGGCAAACTTCCAATCAGCATAATTTGCCCTCCCTGTCAATTTCTTATAGCTAAAAGAACCCTTCATCCATGGTTAATTTTTTTTTATTTAAGTTAAAATTAAATTATTAAAAATCTAACTATAAAATTTTCGACAGGTTTTAATAAATTTTATATTAAAACATAGCTACATTAAATTAGTTAAAAACAACATTTATTTAAGTGTTTAGTATTTAGGCCGAACTATGTGTTAACACATGCGACCATAATTTATCTCTTTAATTCTAAAATTCAGCAAAGAATTTAAAAATGAATATATTAAACTCAATAAATGTTATCTATTAATTTCTTGGGCCATTCTGGACCCATAACTTGAAAAATTAACCCGACAATCAAGCATGCAGGTCGCATGAAATAAAACAACATACCTAGGTGGAGACTGAAACTGGACTAATATTTTATTTACAGATAATAGATTATATTTATGACAATACTGCTGCCATCTATACACAAACATGCTAAACTAACTCATTTAATAAAACTCAATTCTCCATTGTCGCTGAAGCTAGCAGATAGAGTTCAACTGCCAAGGCCTTTTTTCTTGGGGCTGCTTTAAGAGGAGATACAATGGACATCTCGGGAACACTTACTTGCTCAACAACACAATGATTTTGAAGCCCTTTCAAGTTTATTGGAGCTGCTCTTTGGGGAATAATGCTCCCGAGAATGCAGTCACCTGCATTTGAAGTCCCGCTATCGATGAGCAGTTAAAGGTCTGGAACAATTGGCCGTTGATATTCAAAGAATATTGCATCTAGATTTTTCGAATCGCCCTCCTAAGGTACATCAAGGTTTAGCTCTCCACTACTTCATAGACTGTGTACAGGATGTGCAGAAACGCAAAAGGCACTTAAGACTTGCTGAAGTTAAGGTTATGGGACCAGTTCTTGTCTTTGCACACAAGATTAAGGCAGCTCAGCAAACCTCATAGAAGGTCTGCCACTCTATCAGAGCAGTATCAGTCACGGATTCAAACGCTGGTCTAAAGAAAATGATTGAAGTTTTCTGTGAGAGCTTTGGAGTTTGAGAGAGAGCAAGACGAACAAAAATAAAGAAAGAAAATGTTGAACATGTGGAAATGATGGCCATGTACGTAAAAATTGCTCATACTTAAGGATGGTGAAAGTCATACTTCACTGCAGCAGTAAAACTAATTTGTGGCCATCTTCGGGGCTGAGGTGACTAGAAGTTATGAAACCCCAAATCAAAGTATTGCTGATTTCTTCATTGAGTGGCAGCAGTAGTGGACATTATGGGGCACATCAATGCACTATGATAATTGATACAGAAGCCAACACCACCATCCTTAGATTTGGCTCAGAAACTAGATGAAAAATTAAGTTGGATGTCGACCAGCATTGCATTAGAGAATGTGATTGGTGACAAAATCAAAGCTCATGGAAAAATCAACTTCAAGATTTCATTTGGAGATACGAGTTATCATGCAGCATTCGTGGCAGATATCAGTGACGAGTTCATTCTCGGATTAGACTTCTTACGAGGAAATAATTTTAAACTGGACTTCAAAAACAACAAATTGCACTCAAGTATAGAAGATATCAACGTGTTTAAAAAGTGAAATCCAGAGATTAAACAGGCCTATTAAATGAAAGTTAAGAACAATTTAGAACAGTTAAGAACAATTCCACCAAGAACTGAGATAATGGTTTTGGGAATCCTTTCTGTGATAATTTCTGATATGGTCTAATAGAATATCCAGATATAGACAACAACTTCAAAGGAGTACTTGTGGCTTCTGTGCTCGTAGACCTTTCCAGAAATGAATACCTGTGAGACTTGCTAATGTGAGAGATAAAGCGAAAGTTCTAAAGGAAGATGAAGTGTTGACAACTTGAGCTCTAGTGACCTGTATTAACAGAAACTATCAAACAGCATTAAACGAGTCTTCTGGAACTTTTATGAGTGAATTTATACAGAGTGCAAAGTTAAATGATGGACAAAAGAAAGCTGAAGAAAAATTATTAACTGAATTTAAAAATCTTTTTTTCAGAACATCAGAAGATGTTGATCGTACAAAAATAATGCAGCACCAAATTGATACTGGAAATCATACTCCCATCAGACAACATCCTTGGAGATAACCATTTATTAAACAGGAAGAGGTAGCTAAACTTCTAAAAGAAATGAAAGAGAATGAAGTCATTCAATCATTAATGAGTCCTTGTGCATTTTCCTATTGTTCTAGTCAAGAAGAAAGATGGCTCAACCCCATTTTGTGTCGACTAACATTGACTGAATGAAATAACAAAAAAAATAGCTACCCTCTAATCAGGATTTTCACATTAGACACTCTTGACACATTAGACACTCTAGCTTGGAATAAATAGTTCTCAATTTTGAAATTAAAAGTGGTTACTGGCAGGCTGAGATACATATTAATGACAGTGAAAAGATTACCTTCACCACAGGACTTAGGCAGTTCAGGTGATACCATTCGGCTTTAGTAACACACTTGCAACGTTTGAGCGCCTTATTGAAACTGGGCTAAGAGGACTCTCTAATAAATCATGTCTTCTTTACTTGGATGATATCCTCATTGTAATTTTTACTCCGGACTGATCACACCTCTTTAAATTTTAAGAACCCATAAAGTTAGCTAGCCAGGGGGATAAGACTCCAGGAATATGATTTCAAGATTCGTCATTGCAAGGGTACTGCACATGGAAATGCTACCGCATTATCGAGGAAGACTTGCAATGTAAGATGCCAATATAGCTTCAGAATAGAGAAGAAAGTTCAGCCAGCAAATTCTGTGTTACACCAAGTTACAGTTTCAATGACATCGAAGCCTGATCCATCGCGGGATGAAGAGAAAAACAAGCCCAAATGTGAGATCCTGATGTAAGACCTATTCTTGAAATTAAAGAATAGTTGAATATAAGCCAAAGTTGGCAGGACATTTCCATCTACAATCTTGCTACTAAACAGTATTGGGCTCTATGGGATTCAATCTATACTAGAAATGGCAGGTTATACAGAAAATTGGAATCTGATGATTGACAGAGCTTGAAATTGTAGCTTGTCTTTCTCAAATCAAGAATTGTGGAAATTTTGAAAGAACTGCATGGTAGTTCAACCGGAGGCCACTTTGGGGTAATGAAGACTTTAATGAAGGTTCATGAATCACATAGCACAAAATAATCCAGTGGATCTAAACTAGACGTTAAGGGAAGATTTAGTAGAAGTCTAAAAGTCGAACATCAGCTTTTACGGGGATGAGATATGCGTAACTTGATCCATAATTTATGGAAGAATAGACGTCTCATAGACAGCCACAGGAATTATTCCTGATCTGCTGAAAGATGTGAACGAACATTCTCCTGTTTTTGCTCTATCTTTCAAGTTTTTCAAAAGGGGTCAGCACTACAAATATTTCTAAAGAAATTTTTTTTTAAATTTGGCAATTTATATTTTATTTTGATTTGGTTATTCTAACTGTATTTATATCTCTATTTTTTTTTTTTAAATGTGGGTGTTTCATTATCAGTTTTTTCTCTGTGTTCTTTTAACTCATTGCCTTTTCTTTGTTTTCATTGAATTTTCATTTCAATATTTGAATTTTTGACTGCTTTTTCTTATTTAGTTTATCCATTATGATGGCTTGGAGTACAGTCAGTTTTCAGTATTAGCGGTATTAATATTCGGCAATATTTCCCAAGACTTAAAAATTGTTTCAATCTACAAGTTTAAAAAAATTATTTGCTTTAGATTTCTGCAGCAAAACGTCTCTCTTATTATTTCATTATTTACTTTTTTTTAAACTTGAATTTAACCTTCATAACACTGAGTATATAATAAATTCATAATGAATAATACGAAATTTTAAAATAATTTACTCATAATAAAAATGCTATAAAGTGAAAGAAAATTTTAATTGTTAAGTAAGATTTTTCCAATTAAAAAATATACCTTAGTGATTTCTAGTTTAAAAAGATGAAATTACAGATTTTTGTCAGTAATTACGTATATATGACACATTAATACGACTGAAATAAAGAAAATTATGTGAAGAACACATTTTAGCCAATAATGTGCTGTTGGCTATCGAAATGGGCGGCAGGTAGCGTAGAGCAGAACTTTCTACCTATGGCAACACTTCACACATGCCTTCACCATTAGCAGAATATAATAATGGAAGATGAAGACAATGAAAAAACTAAATAAGTTTTAAAAAGTAAAATATTAATGTCATAATCATTAATTATCAAATATATAACTAACTTTATTTTCCAAGTATTTCAGAACTTTATCATGATGCTTTTGAGAAATACCAGATAAAATCAAGTTTCTTATATTTCGTAGCATTGCCATGTATGGGAGTTTGTTTGCATCTAAATCAAAAATAAATAGATCATTAAGTTACAACTCTTTTTTCATATTAAAAAAACATATTTAAAATATTGTTAATCTTATACATCACATCTAAAGCAAGGTGTCATGCTTTTACACTAAATATTAGAGCAAATAATTTCTATTCCATAGTAAGACAGATGATTTAGTCTATAAGAAAAACTGATCTGCGAAAATATTTGAAAGATAAGACATTTGAGATATCTAGAAAATTCAGAGTAGATTTTGAGGATGAAAAGTTAAAATTATTAAGATTAATTAAACATTATTATAAGAATTTAATGTAAATTTCAGAGGGAAAAAATTTAAATTAAATAAAATTTTATTAAATTAATAAAAATATTAAAAACATAACACACTCTTCAATTATAAAGTTAAAACAATATTAATAAGAATTGAAATTAAATTATCAAATCACAAAATACCAATAATTCCTTCCCAAACATTAGCCTTATTCCCATTGGCTGATACTTGAGTCTCCCATGTTATAGGTTGGGGCAATTTCATTCGCTTTCCTGCCAATTTTGAATCCCAAGCACCAGGCAAACCAGATTTGTTGAACTGCTCACCAGATTCTGGATACCTATAATTATAATTAATAGTTTACAGATAAAATGNGTGTGTGTGTGTGTGTGTGTGTGTGTGTGTGTGTGTGTGTGTGTGTGTGTGTGTGTGTGTGTGTGTGTGTGTGTGTGTGTGTGTGTGTGTGTAAATCTGTGTGTGTGTGTGTGTGTGTGTGTGTGTGTGTGTGTGTGTGTGTGTGTACATAACACAAAAGAAACAAAAAAGAAAGAAAAGAGGGATTAACAAAGAAATAATTATTATATATTTTTTTTACTTGTTCTCTTTGTTCTTTTATCTTATACATATATATATAGAGGGAATAATTATTATACAAGGAACAGAAATATTTACTAATTATCAAGGATTTAGTTTCACTAATTTACAATTTCTGACAAAAATAAATAAAAGATACATATGTTGCCGACAAAGTATGAAATGTGGACATTTTATAGAATGAATATATTCTATATTATATTCTATTTCATAGAATTTAATTACAAATATGCATATTATATATATATACAGTACAGAACCTCTTAACCGGAAAACAGAAAACCAGACAAAATTCGATAAATTTTCCCGCCACTTAAATTTTTTTCTTTTTAAGACTTCAGAATTTCTCTTTCTTTTTTAAAAATTTTTTACTTTGTTCAAAAAATGTTAAATTTTAGAGACCATCAGGAGAAGCAAGAATCTTTTACTAAATATCATCAATCATTCCCTTCCTCATCTACTACTTAGTTGTTTCTTTTCAATCATAGCTCAATGAGAAAAAGTGACTCGTGGAACACCTGTTTTCCTATCATCTGGCCCTTAAGCAGGGGGAGTCGTTACTACAGTCATCATGTTCATTAATCTTAGGGTAGGAGAGTTAAAACAAATAATTTTATTCGTCTTCTTTGATTCTCAGAAATCTCTTAAAGTACGCCCTACAGGGACAGCAGAGCTCCTATTTTTTCAGTAGTAGTATCCCTCCTTCTTTTCCTGTTATTTCCTACTTTTTCTTATTTTTTAAAAAATTATCTATTTATTTCTGCTATTTGCTATTTGAGCACAGTGACAGGGAAGGAAATGGAATAATGATTCAGGGTCAAGTATTGCAACTGCACTTGTTATTCAGTCCATTTATTTTGAATGTGGTAGAACATGAATTCTTTTTATTATGTCAGCTTTTGGGTCTGCTTGCCAATTCATGTTTAACTAGAGTGGAGGAGAAATAAAATCACTCATCTTAAAAAGAAATAAGATTGTGATACATGTGCTTTTCTTTCTGATTTTGATTAATGTTTTAGCAAAATGTTGAAACCCAAGTTAAACTCTTCCAGATAGTGTGCCAGAATCACGGCAATATTGTTGCAGAAAGTTACAGAGGTTTCGATGAAAGATTTTTCTATTGGAAATTTTTTTTTTTAAATATCTTTTCTGCAGAAATTTTTGAGGGATTTTTTTAAACACCTTTTCTGCAGAAATTTTTGAAGGATTTTTTTTCTTCTCAGAGTTATATTCAAAAGATACCTTATTCGCGATCGGAAAGAAGTGCTCGTGATTTTCCACTTCTCATTTGAGAACAATGAAGTAAAAAATTTTGTTTTTCTTTTCTCCAGTAATTTTTTAAATATATTTTTTCCATCCAGAATTCAAACAATGTCTGCCTTGCGTAAAGGAGGTAAGAGAAATGCTTACAATTTTTCTCTCCTCATTTGAAAATAAAAAAATAATGAAGTAACGAAAATGGAGTGGATGGTTTTGAATTCTGACGCAGACAACAACGAAGTAGAAGAAAGCAATGAGGGAAACAAAAATCAAGCTCATATTTCGAGTGAATGATGCATCAAGTTGATGAAAGAACTGATTAAGGGGAAGGAGCAAAAGCAGTTTGTAGACGAATCTCACATTATCTCAATTTATATGATTCAGCAGTTGTTCGTGCAACAAAAACTCAATTTTCATCAAAAGAAAATGGATGAGTTTTTCTAAAAAAAGAATGCCGATACTTTTTTTTTCATTTCACCTTTTTTGTACAGTTTATATTAATCCTGAATATATTATTTATTTCATTTTTTTCTTCCTTTTTATCTTTTTAAACTTATGTGTATTACTTTATAATATTTTCTTCTTTTTAAAATTATTTCTAAATATTTTTTTTAGTTGGGCTTAATAAACAATAAAAAAACGGCATTTTGTAGCCATTCAGAAAACTGGAAAAATCAGTTATCCAGAATGGTCTCAATCGTTCCGGATAATCGGTTCCCTACTGTGTGTGTATATACATATATATATATATATATAAAGCATATGTATGTATGTATATATATATATACACACACACACACACACACAGTGAAACGTCCTGTTATGGACACTCCTGCAAAACAGATGCCTCTCAAAAAGAATATATTTTTAATTCCCCGGGAATCTTCTATGAATAAACCATTATGTACATTCTCCGCAAAGCGGACACTCCCGTAACTGGACGCGAACAGTCATGTTGAGCCTGAAACGTTATTTTCTATTTCTTCAAACCGGACAGTACTTTTTCTAAATTTGAGAAGAAAAAGAAACTATTTCTGCTTTAAATTGCAAGGGGAAGAAATGCAACTTTTCACCATTTTTAAAGCATGTAAATTTTTTTGCCTTATCCATAATTAAAAATATTGTTAAGCCATTTCAGTAATGAAGAATCAATCATTCTTCTGTCACCTTGCCTTATCTTTGTAAAGAAAAGAGAGAAAATGATACTGTCTCTCCTGAAATAATTCGGACATCGGCATCTTTTGATCTTTTCATCTGGACCACGCAGATTATGAGACCCCTCAAGTTGAAATGACATCTTAAATGTGCTTCTTGCTTGAAAATTTCTTTAATTGTCTTATCAATTTGAAGACTATTTAACACAGATGAGGTAAAAAAGAGAACAGAAGCATAATTTTTGAGGTGTTCCTACAAATGAAACATTTATTCAGACCCTAGATAGTTGATCAATTGTGAATAATCAACTCCATAGGTCCTCATGATTTACAGGTAGGCATTGCTTTTTTCCCCCTGTGAATCGTGGGAGGTTTACTTTCAAACAGGTATTAACCATGTTCCCTATCAAATGATAGGTAAGTGTAAAGGCATGCAAACCTAATATTTAAAACCTACTGAGGACAGAAAGCTCCCATTTGATATCATATCTCTAACTGGAGTATCTATGCAAATAGTAAAATTATATTCTTTTATCTGTAGCTACATCTGGAAATATGTATTTATATCAAACTTCATTATGTATTCTTTTTTATCTTTCCTAAAGTTTAAATATATATCCTTGTCGATAGTTATTGTAGATTATTTAATTATTTTTTCATCCTTGAAAATAGTCCAGAAACAATTTACAGCCTTAACGTCGTTATTAGGGTACCCTTCCCGTAAATGGACAACTCTCATAAACTGACAATTTTTTCGGTCCCAAGAATGCCCGCTTAATGGAGGTTTTATTGTATATATATATACACATATATATGTATGTATGTATGTATATATATACACATATATATATATGTATATATACACATATATATGTATGTATGTATATATATAAATNGTATGTATGTATATATATATATATATATATATAAGTATATATATATATACATACATATGTTTATATTCATACACATACGTATGTATATATATATGTGTGTGTGTATAATATATACGCAGTAAAGTCCCATATCCGGAATCGTCGGGACTTGGGCAAGTCAGGAAAATAGATTTTTCCGTGTAATAGGTCTTTAAGTGAAACAAATGTCAAAGCATCCTAATTCTCCAAAAAGTAATAAATAGACAATAATTAACGTCAATTCCAATGAAGAACGAATATATTTACGTGGTTGCGCTATTTAAAGATATTTTGTTACAGATTTCCACATGGTTTTTAAAATTTCAAGGCAAATTCAGAATCACACATTTTAGTAATCATTTCTCGATTAGCGACGATTCAACAAAAACCGGAAGGATTTGCCGATCCTTTTTTGGGTAGATATTAAAACTGAATTTCACATCGTTTCTAAAATCTCAACATTCTACTACAGTATTATTTTAATCGGCAAACTTTGAATAGCGCATTTTGCCCTCAATTATTGATGATTAACCCATAACCTCACGTGGATTCATGATCGCAATTTTTTTAATAGAATATTATAATGATCCGAAAATTCCAAATTGAGCTTTTGAATAATAAATTAAAGATCCACTTTATTTATGGCGATTCCATCTCAAATCGCAATTTTTTCAAAATAAGACATTTTTGCGCACTCTGAATTTAAGTGCTTGATTCTTTGCAATAATAATCCTTGGCAATAATGATTCTTGGCAATAATAAAACGCGAAAAAAAATCGCGATTTTTTCGCGCTTTAGTGAAATGGCAAATTTTGTGTCCGTGATATCCAATTTCTCTTTTATTGTAGCGGAAATCGGATTAAAATTTAACAAAAATCGGAAAGCCGGAAAAAACCAAAAATTAGAGGAAAACAGAGGATTCTCATCCCTGCATACTTTTTTCAACAAGTCGCAAATGAAAAAAAAACAATTTATAAGTGAAAAAGAGTTCTGTTTATTTTGATGATTAAAAAGCGTCCAGAAAAAAGACCCTTCCAGTAAACCGACGTCCGTACATGGAACTTTGCACTGTATATGTATAAATGTATTTTATTTATATATATATATTAATTATTCAACAAAGAACAGAAATATTTATTAATCATAAAGAATTTAGTTTCACTAATTTACAATTGCTGACAAAAACCAAAAAATTAAAAGGTATATATGTTAATAGCATTGTATGAAATGCCATCATTCTATAGAATGTCTAAGCATTGCATAGAGTGCGTTCTGTTTTTAGGAAAATATGAAATCATAACATACTTTACATTGTATATAATACCTAGGCATTCTTTTGAATGACAAATGTTATTTACGCAGAGTATAAAAAAAGATCCTAATAAGGCTATTTCATAAATCACATGCACTCCTAAAAATACAAATGGTATTCTGAAAAACTAAAGCAAATGCCATCAAAAAAAATTATTAAAAATACCCTACAAAATTTATTTTGTAAGGAATTTTGTACAAAACAAAATTTATGCCTTTCTTGATAAAGGAAACAAGATTTTCATATTAAAATAAAAGAAATGAAAAGTTACCTATTTGTTGCAATATGGTAGGTCTGAATGTCATTCTGAATTATAATTCTTTAGATAAGTTTACTAGAGACTAGATAAGTTTTATCTTTAAAGTATTACTTCTTTATAATGTTTGTTTTTAAAAACGAGAAGAGGAAACATTTAAAACTAGCAATGCATTTTATTAGAAAGAAAAAGATTGTTAAAGATTGACAAATTATGATGAAATCTAAGATTTTGATTAAATGAAGGAGGAAACAGAAATATGCATAATAATTTAATACAATAGTCAAATAAAGAATACCATACTTCGATCAATACATACATAAATAACTTTTACTATACTTCGATAAATTTGTAACTTTTATTATACTTTTATAAGTGTATAACTTTTATTAATATATAACAATTAACCTATAAAATTCCTGCAACTTAAGAGTAAGATAATATTTCTAAAATAGCAGTATGGAAAACTTACTTTTTACCAAGAAGACACATAACTTCATTTGCAGGGGAATCAATGTGAAGAAGTCTAATGAGCTGTTTCAGTGTAAAACCTTGCAAAACCTTTACGTAAAAAATAAAAAGAAGAAAACTGATTATCAGATCTGATATTAATAAAAAAGAAATAAATGCTGAAACTAAAATGTGATACCTTGTTTTTCTTCTTCTTGGTTTTGTCTCTGTTATATTTTGCTAAATGATTAGACATGCATTAGCATAAAATTATCAAATTTAAAGAAATAAAAAAGAAATTTTCAAAAAAAAAAAAAAAAAACATTAATAAATAAATCTACTTTAAAAATTAATTTAGCAATTCTAACTAAGTATTTTAAGAAAAATATTTCATCCTCAAGAGTTGACAAAAATATAACTTAATTGTCTGCTGGTCTAATTAATAAATTAAATGAATAACTCTGAACAAGGTAAGATATTTTCCAATTAAAAATGAAAAATTACACATAAAACAGAATTAAGCAGCTTGTGGACAATAAGTTCATATTAAGCAAATTATAAACTAAGTTTCCTATAAAAATTAGGACCCTATGCACCTAGCCAAATAAAAATTAAAGGAATTACATTGAACTGAATCTGCTTATTTATTTTCTGCTGCAATTTTTTACAGTTTAAAATAAATTTAGTTGGTAGAGTTTTAAAAAGATTATTTTGACAAGTAATATTTATCCCACCATTTTTTTCACAATGAGTAAAGGAATAAAATGAGCATTTTTTGTGCAGAGCTTTAGGTCTTTTGTTAAGATTCCTTGATCCTTGCCGTAATCTCAATCTCAATATTTTCTCATGAAAATATCTTGATATTTTAAATTTATCACTATTACTTTAACTCAAAGCTGAACAATCAAGAATTCAGTAAAAAAATATTCTCTTAAATGTAGTTTTAGATACATTGTTTTAAAATAGCTCACTTCTTCACTACATAACAAAGAGCTTAAAAAAAAAAAGATGTTTAATAATATTTTAATGAAATTAAGAGCACCAACTGAACAAAATAAAGCAACAATGGGAAAATATTAACTATTAAGTTCTCCTATTAAAAACCACCCTTAATAACATTCTACAATTACAGTTTATTAAAATATGTTCTTGAGCACAAAACTTAAAATTTTCAGAAAGTCTGTTTTTTTCACTTAACTTTTCGACAGAGAAACTACAAATAGAAACTAGATTTCTAAATTACATGAACCTGTATATCAAATATACTTAACTCTTTCATTCCGGTAGGGTCTGAGATTTTGAGTTCCCCTGTTATGGCAGTTTTCAGAAGGAAGGTTTTTCACTTGAACTCGACCACGGTTCCCACCCAGTGAGATAAGTAAAAGGGGTGTAAATGATTCTCCTTTCTCTTCATTGAAACTCAGTCTAGTGGGGGAAAAATGTATGCAACAACAAATTGTTGGATAAGTTTAAAACACCCCATTTACCAAAACGTTAGTTCAGCAATTTTTTGGCGACGAATAACTAGAATTGTAAAAGTTTCCTTCCTTCTTTTTTTGTTTTCTTTTTACATCTTTTCTATTGTTTTTTTTTTTACTCGATTTTTTTCACAAAATCATGAAATGTGAAAAGTTTAGATAAAAATTGCTCTTCAATAAATTTTTTATTACATTGCATTATTTCAAATAATTCCTGAATAATTAATTTAGCTTTAAATAATATGTATGCCATACCTCACAAATTTCTCTGTTTTACCACTTCCGATATCGAATCTCGAGACTACTTTACTCAAATTTTATTTAACTTAAAAATAATTTGAATAATCTATTATTTTTTATTAAATGGAGATTTTTATTAAATAGTTTTTTAATAGTATATTGCATTAAATTTTTCAGAATCTTAAAGATTAAATTATAAAATTTTGCTCAATCTTAAAGATTAAAGTTTAAAGATTAATATTTTGCAGAATCTGAACGATTTAGCTATCTTAGTTTCATAAATGAGAATACCCATGGCTCGAAATGATCAGTTGAACAGTCCCTAAAAAATACTAGATTTTATTTTTTAACCGTTTGACGAAGATGAGACACCGGTGTTCCTTTTATATATACTTTTTCTTGCATTCAAATTACCATCTATAACTTATTTCAGTATTTTTTAATTGTAACAAACAGTATGATAATTTCTAAAAAACTCTGTTAGATTATCAGAATTATATTTATACTAAAATATGAAATATGAATACAATAATTTGAACAAAAATTTTATTTTCATACATGTAAAAAAGTTATCCGAAATTGATTTTCAAAATTAAAGAAATTGTAAAAATTGAAAATTAAAGAAAATTGTTTCTTTTAGATCAAAATAACTGTGTGCGAAAATAAAGGCAAACTTTAAAAATATATATATATATAATGTTTGGAAGTGATCTGTGTTTGGAAGATTTTATCTAACTCAGAAAAAGATACGGGTGTTTCATGCTCTATTTCATAACCAAAAATTATTAAAATGCTAAATATAATATTTTTCACTTATTTTCAACCAAATTGTCTTAGTGTAAACAAATTTTATACTATTTGAGTAATACTTTTTGATCCCCATAATTAGATTCAGAGAGAGTAATAGAAAGGCATAATAGTTAAAGGTATAAGTTTCAATCTTTCTCTTTACTGATCTATGAAGGCCATATATTCCAAATTATCTTTTCCTTTCTGACAACAATATTTTGAAAAATATTTATTTTCATTCTGAGGAATCACCTGTGTATTGAAGTTTTCATAGAAATCAATAGTTATATGAAATAATATGCGTATTCTAAGTGGACCTCTTAAGACAAAAATATTATTTCTTTTCATTAAATAGAATCATCACTCAAAATTATTAAATTTTGAGTGATAATATTTAGAGCAACATTTTATTGCAGAGCACATCTTATATTATTCAATAAATTAGTAATAAAACTGAATGATATCAAGAACTGCGTTTTCATCTTTAAGAACTAAGCCTTTACATAACGTGCTCGCTATCTTGTAGGCAAGAACATTCGGATAGTGTCATCGGCTTCATTAACTTTAAATTAAATTATAACAAAAACTATTCCCGCATCTGGTGGCCACAAGTTATCACATTTTATTTCTGTGTATTATTATAGATATATGGTTAGTTTATGATTGAAGAATCAGAAAGATGGATTAGTCTGTTTAGTATCTTTTTTTTTCAGTGAAAAGAAATCTGTAAAAAAATAGAATACTATCATTAGCTAATTTGTATATAATTATCAGGCATAATTTACTTTTAACGGTATAAGTGTAATATTAAGCAATTTGTTAACATTAATATTTGATAATGGAGAATTTCAAAGTTGTTAGAATTCCTTAAATTCATTTTTTAATAAAAATAAAAGAATTTTCTTTTGTAGTTTGAAAGTATATTATTTAGTCTAAGTTTTAAAATACAAGTTTAGTTACAGATTCTTTTTTTTCTCCCAATAACCACTTTTGACGTCGAATCGGAATTTGTTTGCGTAAATGTTCAACAATAAATTAAAGAATGTGGTTATTTCTTCATGGTTAAATGAAGCCCAACTGTTATTTTTCTAAGAAAATGTTTCTTGCTGGTTGCAATCCTTTTCAGCAAAAATGGCCAAAGTAAAATAAATTTTAGCTTTTACTATCTTATGTCAAGAAGTGTTTTGTATAGTATATTATTATATTCTCATTACGCAGCAGGTATTCGTCTTACACGCCTCAACTCAGTACCCTTTCCAACCGGCTCAATGATTCACAACACACATCGGGAATTCTTTCCCTTTTGTATAGCGATTGACACCACTATATTCTTCGATCAAGGTGTGCTGGCCTCCTTCTCCGAAAAAAAAATAAATACAGTGGAACCTGTAAAAGTGACCACCTGGTTAAAGTGAGAATCTGAGTAAGGTGACCATTTTCTGCAAGTTTTATTTAAAAAGTCCTTTTTAAAGACTCTTCATAAAGTAACCACCTCTATATAGTGACCATTTGACTTGGTCCCGAGGGTGGTCAATTTAGACAGGTTCCACTGTAAATAAAACGGAAACTGTATTTGAATCCTTCTTGCTTGTATATTTTTAGAAACATTTCGCCCTAGATAATTTTTAAAAAAAATAATTACTGTCGTAATTTTACAAATGTTATTAATTTAACTATTTAATTATCTTTTTCTTATTTATTTCTTACGTTAGAATGCTTTAATAAGTCACATAGGTGCTAAGCNTCTAATCAATGACATAGCAAGGTTTTTGATTTTCATTCACAGATAGGTAGCGTCTTAGGTACAAATTGTGGATTTTTATTAGATAGCTCAGTTCTTGTAAGTATTGCGGCAAAACTTTTCGTGAACATTGTATACAAATTCAAGAAAATTCAGTTGGGAGCAAAATATAATACACTGAACTCAGCAACCACCAAAAAATAAAATAATTGGTCGAACAAACTGGAAGATATTTTGGGGAAATGATAAAACGTCTATTGGTGATGAAGGAAAATGCCCAAATGTCATTTTAATTACTCACAAAAGGTAGATAAGTACAGAATAAGATAGATAGAGGAAGCTACGAATAACAAAGGGATGAAAAGGTTTCTTTCCTAGTTTTTCAGGAATACGAACTTATAGAATACATGGTGTCATAAAATTATTCCCACTTGCAGGCTAACAGTAAATACTTTTATACGTCGTCTAGAACAATCAAACTTTCAAAATATTTTTGAAATAGAAACGATTTTTTAGAAATTTTATCCATTCCTCATATAAGAAGAAAAATTATTGCACTTTCTCCTAAATTAGAACACAGAGGAAAACGGCAGACCACATTCATAACGAAAATTACTAGACTTAGTCCCCCTCGTGAAACAGTTGATTTTTATTTATTTTTTAATTTAAGCATGCATAGACAAAGAGGTTATTCAAAAGAAAATAAAAGGAAAATTATGACTGACTAGGACTAAAGTCTTTTTCAAATTGTATTCAAATGATTAATTTATTGACAAAATTTGAAATTTATTAAAATTGCTAAAATCGAAACAGAACAAAAAACTTGGGTAACTGTTTCCAATTGCGTTATTAGAAAGAAAAAAAAAATTTAAAAAGGAGAAAAAAAAGCTGAAAAGACAGCAAAACAACTATTGTTTTCTTTTTAAGAATTTTCTTTAAGAAAAAAAAAAGAAGATTTGATTACATAAAATATGATATGAATTCTTATGTCT